CTTTCTTTCTTTCTTTCTTTCTTTCTTTCTTTCTTTCTTTCTTTCTTTCTTTCTTTCTTTCTTTCTTTCTTTCTTTCTTTCTTTTTTTCTTTCTTTCTTTCTTTCTTTCTTTCTTTCTTTCTTTCTTTCTTTCTTTCTTTCTTTCTTTCTTTCTTTCTTTCTTTCTTTCTTTCTTTCTTTCTTTCTTTCTTTCTTTCTTTCTTTCTTTTTTCTTTCTTTCTTTCTTTCTTTCTTCCTTTCTTTCTTTCTTTCTTTCTTTCTTTCTTTCTTTCTTTCTTTCTTTCTTTCTTTCTTTCTTTCTTTCTTTCTTTCTTTCTTTCTTTCATTCAAAACTGGCAATGAACTTTTTTTTACCACTAAAGCAATAGCTAAGGATAGTTATCAAATGAAAGGTAATTGAATAATGGGAGCTTTTCCTAGCAAACTTGAAAATAGGCCTAGGCATAAGCTTTGTATGGCAAAGCAACTTTTGCTTGCATTTGCAACGATTGCATTTGCTTGTACTTGAACCTTTAGTTGCTTTAAGCAAAACCATAGTCATTATCTGTCCTTTTTGCTCTGTGTTTAAAGCATGTTTAAGCATGCAGACAGCCAAGATACGTACTAACGGTCACATGGCGCTATAAACGCGACTCCTATCTATTATGGTAACATGTGCTTTATGTTTTCGCTTTTTCGTGGCATTCTGAAATTTCAAAATATGATAGACTTATTGAACTGTTTCAAAGCAACCGTAGCTTAGCCATGTGCTTACACCCCGTTTATTATACACATTGGTGACCAATTACAGTGGAATAGGGTGTAAAACAAAATAGTCAAAACCAAGCTAGCTGTAGCCATCGTTGGAAAAAAAGTAAAAGAGATTTCTGCGCCGCCTCTGGTCCTGTGCGTTACAACAAATGCTTCAATTTTGTGATTCCTTTTCCTTAAGTTTCAATAGCGGAGAAGTCGGCCTTGTATTCACTTTGGGTGCCACTGAAATTTTAGCAATGATTACAATGGCAATTTCTTATGTTTAGATTACGTTAATTTCTTGCTTTTTCAATTTCAAATATCAGACGCCATTTCGACAACTGAGTAATTTTTGTGAAGTCATTCTTGCTACAGCTACACTGGTTTTCTTAAACGCAGAAAACAATAGACTGTATGCACACGAGCCGTGTAGCCTCCTCAAAAGAAACCTGGAAACATAGCTACAAATTTACAAGCGGATTTTTTGACCGCATTTTCTGAACATTTCAAAAATATATGCTTTCTCCGCTTATATTCGCTATTTCGTAAGCAAGAATGTACAGAAGCTTTTAACGTGATTGATGATGTTAAATATTTGAACTTTGAACACGAGTATTCATGCTTCATTCAGCATTGCACAGAGGTAAAGCTAGAGCTTCCTTGATTTTTTATTTAATATCCTTCTTTACTTACCAGAGGCACTGTTGCTGTAGGACAAATAGCCATATAGCCCCTTTTTGGTATAATCGTAGAATTTTTGGAAATGTCAGTGTTTTGACAGGAAACCCTCGAAAATTTCTTTTCAAAACCATGTCTTCACTGCACAAACTTACCCGGATAAACTAACCTAGGTTAAGTCAGTCTGGTTAGTTTTTTTGTAGTGGGAATGCAGCTAGCCCGGGTTTGCCCCGGTTTAATCTAGGCGAGATTTCGAGGTGGATTAGTTTAAAACCAGCCAGGGTTGGTTTTGGCAGATGTATTTTAAGCACGAAACTGAGGCGAACCCGGGTCTGTTTCAAAGGTGAGCATGGGCACTATTGTTTTAACAAAAACAAACCCACGTAAAAAAGTTTAACGCTTTTTTCGTGTCACTTGTCGGGCGCACGAACCTTTGATCGTTTTCGGGAAATCTTAGAGCTTGTAACCTTAATATAGAGATGCCTTTACTGTCATGCATTAGTTCTAGTTTTGAGTCCTATTGTTATAGCCTCGTTTTGTGATAGTGATTCAAGTTTGATTCTAACGTAAATGTGCTTGTTCTCTACTGTGTACTCGGCCTGATATGTTACAAATTGGCGACGAGGAATGGTTTCGGGTCCTAATATTATGTTTGAATGGTAACATACGGGACTGTTGTGGAAGATCCCAGTTTTTTGTTTGAAGAGAAAGCTCAAGTAGGCCAGCTAAACGAATTGAGTGGTGAAGACGAGCTCTGGTTTCTTAGTCCCATTTTGTTTGGGATTTTCAAAAGGAAGTTTCTTTCACTCTTGGGCCAAAACATGGAATGAGATTCCAAGAAACATCAGAAAGAGCCCCACATTTTCCGTGTTGAAAAAAAACTTGAAGGAATTCCTACAAAGTTAATAAATTCCCAAAACAGAACACGATCCCTAGGTAGAATCTCAATTTCATGAACAAACACGATCTTTATTTTATATATATTAGAAAATTAATTTGTAGTAGAAGTAGTTTATTAACATTATATCTGAAAGGGAATTCACGTATAAAGATTTTTAAAATTAAAATCAACAAATTAAAGAAAATGTTCGCTTGAATGCTGACGTAGCATTTGCATGGCACAGGTGCTAGGACAGGTTGGTCCCTATTGTGAAGGGAAGGAGGACTGGGCTTGCTTTGTGGAAAGGCTGGAACAGTTTTTCATTGCAAATGATATTACTGATGCATCCAGGAAAAGGACTGTGATTTTGAGTGGAATTTGACCTTTAACATATTCGGTATTGAGAAATTTGATGACCCCAGATATTCCTTCAAGTAAGTCGTATGATGAGCTGAAAGCTACATTAACAGCTCATTTTAAACCACAAAATAGAAATGAGTCTATTTCAGATTATATTGTTGAGTTGAAGAAACTTGCAAGGGCATACCGGAAAACAAGGACCCAGGACCTTAAGGCAGGACCCAGGACCCAGGACCAGGACCGAGGACCAGGACCCAGGACCAGGACCGAGGACCAGGACCCAGGACCAGGACCCAGGACCAGGACCGAGGACCAGGACCCAGGACCGAGGACCAGGACCTAGGACCAGGACCGAGGACCAGGACCGAGGACCAGGACCGAGGACCAGGACCCAGGACCAGGACCAGGACCCAGGACCAGGACCCAGGACCAGGACCGAGGACCAGGACCGAGGACCAGGACCCAGGACCAGGACCGAGGACCAGGACCGTATATGTTTTCGACGATGCACTTACAGTTTCCTTTATAAGAATACCAAGTTATAACATTGCATACCATGAACAATTTTCCATAAAATCCAAAATCCAAAACTGCACATCGAACAAAAGACTGCACATCATTTTAGGGGGGAAAAGAATCTGATTTTATTTCTGACTTTGTGTGAAAAACGAAAACTCGGGTAGCTCGGGAATATGTAAATGTACGATTAAACGAAAGCAACGCCTTGAAATGTGAAATAATCCTATTGGCCATGCAAACCTGACGTGGTTGTTTTAGCATAGATGGCTATTGCTATTCTTTAGTAGGATCGGGGTATATTTTATGCACACTGCTAACCTTATATCTTTAGTAAGCCCACATCATTGAAAAGCCACCAAAGCATAAGTAGTCTTAATATGTTTACATAGCAAGACATTAGAACGTTTCTGTGCTCTAGAAGCAGGAATGGCTCCACTCCCTT